TCCCAAAATAGGGGAACCCCAATGTAGTCCCAAAATACTATAATCCTTATCATGGGTACCCCCAAAAGGTACCCTTAATTTCGAGAAACCCCTATACTACTAGCTTGAGAGTCAGAACACGCCAGCCAAAGCTGCTGGACAAAGCAGAGTGCCTCCGGGCTCTCAGGTCCCCATTCCAAGTAATCATCGGCCTGCATGTCTGGTACATGTACTATAATATAATATACTATAATATACTATAACAGACTATAATAGAATATACTATAATATACTATCATATACTATAACGTACTATAATAAACTATAATATACTAAGTATAATGCACTATAATTCACCAACATCTCTGCTTCTCATGTGGATAATTTCCTGGCTCAGACTCCAGAATAGAACTAGGACACATGCTTCTCTCCTGCCAAAGCCCAACCGGAAGCCTTCCCACAGCTCAGCGCCCAGCTTCCTTGAAGCCTGCCTTGAGAAGGATTGCTTCAGCGAGATCAGGCCTGCTAAAAAGAAATGGCTGTTCAAAAGATTAAACTATTTGGGTTAAATTGGGGTTATCTTGGGGTAATGGAAAATAAAATGGAAACTACAAGGAATATAGGGGTTATATAGGGATTATAAACTCTAATTCAAAATGTTCTACACCTGACACAGCTCCACGTGAAGGCAAGGCAAGCGTACAGTTGGCCAAGCCTTCGAACAAGCTTCTTACGTAGAGCGACCACCTTGCATGACAGCTTGCCGATGCTCTGGCTTTGTTTAGAAAAATACACGTAATAGTAGTAACAATAATAACAACAGCAATAGTAACAACAATAATAACAATAAGAACAATGCTGACAGTGGCGCTTGAAAGTGACCTGGCCTTGAGCCTGCTAAACTTGGTGAGCGCGTTGCTATCTTCCAAGTTCCCAAGGATACGGTTCAAAACCTTGCAGCGTTGAGTATACATAGTATATTATACCGTAAGATACTGTGCTATACTATACTATAGTGTATTCTAGTATAGTATACTGTATGATGCGCTATAATATACTACATTTTTACAGCAGCTGGCAGAAAACGTCATCGACTCATCAACTCCGGTAGAATGGTACAGCATTACTGCAAACCGTCTTTCCGCGGGGTGCCTCACAGCAAAAGGATATCGAACCGAGGGCTTGCTGGGGTAGGAGATCTTGAGCCTGAACAGTCCACAGTGAACATGCCACCCTCACCCGATGCAACAAAAATTCTGAGAATATCACATCTACTTGTGCCCGCAAAGCCGGCAAACATGCCTTGCAGGAACAATCTGCAAGTCTCCAAGCATACAACTCTGTCAAAGTGGGCCTCGGCTGCGGTTCGGAGCAGCAGCTTTGGTCCATGCGCCTCAGCCATGGATAGAGTCTCCCTTAAGTAGATAGAATATGGGGTATAGTAGTATATGGGGATCTTATTATAATATACCCGCAGCCATATTCTCTCTACTTAAGGGGGACCGTAGGTGTGGCAACTTATCCAGAATAAGCAAACCCTCCAAGCAAACTTGTGGTACGTAGCAAGACTTTTGGACCATACAGGCTAGGCTCTGTTTTTTTTTGCCGAAGCCAACACTTGGGCTGTTGCTGGCGGCGGTTCCCCAGAAGGTTCCACAGCCTGAAAACACGCAAGCACTCATACTCGGCTTTCGCAAACAAGGTCACGCCAACGTTCGCTGCCGTGGTGATGTGGACTGCGTCACATGCCAGCCAGTGCTTGTGAAAAAGGATGTCGATCTTCCGGTGTGGAGTGTGTTTTCATCGTTTCGGCGATCACAATGGGCTGCTAATTACATAGTTGCTCGCCTGCGCAGACCGCATCAGAATTTCAAGAATCTCATTTTAGACAGCGACGACTACACAAGCAAGCCTGCGCCAGACGGGAAACAAAGCTAAGAGCAACGCTGTTTTTTGCAGCAAGACAGTTTGTGAGCACAAAAGGGTCAAGAGACGACTGCCCACTCAAAGACCATCGGATCGGGAGCTCAGCAGCCGTCGTAGCAGAAAACATAGCTCGGAGGAGCTCCTTCAAAAGTAGTTACCGGTAGCTTCCACTTGGGATCATTTAACGCCCGAATTTGTAGCATCAGCGCATTCTCAAGCACGAGTCAATTCATTTGCTGACTCCTTAGCATCGCTGCGACTTGTGACGGAGCTGGAGCACGTCACCTGCATACTCTACCACGGACGTAATTATCCGAAGAGGTGCCCTAAAAGAGAGAAATGCGTCTCGCCCAAGGTCGCTAACGCCGGCATGAGCTTAAACGAGGTCACAGTTGTCAGCGGCCTTGGGCGAAAAGCGCATCTGATGTGGACTTCGTCTCACGCCTGCCAGTGTTCGCGCCAAAAACTTGTGTTTTTGGAATGCTGTTTTTCTTGCATTCTGGATCGTGTTTCTTTGGATAAAAAGCCTTTCGCCCCATGCCTGCCAGTGTTTTGAGTGCTAGCCAGTTGAGGTGTTGCCGGAGGTCGGACGTGGCTTTCCGCTTTATAGGTTTGTAACATCAGAAGCGTACGAAGAAGCGAACCCGTGATTTCGCCCAGGCTGGGCAGTATTTCAAGCGCTTCGCGCACCCGGGCAATTCTCAAAATTATGGACGGGCCCCTTTGGTTATGGATTCCATTACGGCACCCAATATCTAAGGATATCAAAGTCGGACCCTGAGTTTGGGAAGCACCCACGTCTTTACTCGAGGGTTCGGTACACTGGGCTAAACTTCTAAAACCTAAGCAGGAAGCCCCAAAAGAGGGAACCCCCTTAGGATGGTGCTATAAAATAAAGTCTTGAAGGCGGGGGCCCGTTTAGGATTCTTTAAGCTCTATACGCCCTGGGTTATAGAAGGGGATCGAAGCCCCACAGAAAGGACCCATTGGGGATGCTACCTATGGCTCAGGTATGGAAGCAGTAGTGACGACATGCACTTGACTAATGGAGCGAAGCTTGGACCACTGGGAACGATCCGTGGACTACGGGTGCGAAGAAAGCCATTATGGGTTGGGCATGCATGCACTTGTAAGCGCCTGCGCTGGAACATGAACGTCACTATGGCTTGGGCAGGCATACACTGGTAGTTGCATGCGCTCGAAAATGCGAAATTATGGCTTGGGCATGCATGCAATATTCATCGCACGCGCTCGAACATGGACGTTTTGTTATACGTTGTTGTGCTGTGGGCATGCATGCACTGATAATCGCATATGCTCAAATCTGAACGTAGTTATGCTTGTGACATGCATGCACTGGTAATCGCACGTGCTGGAACATGAAAAATCCAAACTTAGGTTTTCGCTCAGGGCCGCTAATGCGGGCGTGAGCGAAAACAGGAATGACTTGATCGCATGACATGGCCACCTGGATTGCCGTATCCATGGCTAGATTGGAACATGGTGCGCGGCTACAGACTTCCAGCAGTGGCTGAACAACCTTTTTTAATGCAGGTTGAGTGTAGAGTGTAGATGCAGAAGTACAACACTTTCAGAAGATGCTGCATGTGAAAGTAAGAAGCACTTCACGCATGTGCAAACTGAAATCAGCAATGGGCTTTGGTATGAGGGCAAACGACAGCATGCAAGCCCCCTCTGCACTTGCGCTCTGCTCGCTGACACGGAGTTGACGTCCCACAAAAATATCATCGTAGAACATCAGAATTTGAAGGCTCTCCGGCCAAAACTACAACTTACCCAACCTCAGCCACGGAAGCACACAATGAACTGCTGTCTGGATGCCTCCAGAACAAGCAACTGCAGATGCCGCTGTCGTTTTGCACAGTTTCGCGAGGTGGTCTGAGATGTTGCTTTGGCCGCGCAGCTGAGGTCTCAAAGGTGCAGTGCCACCGGCATCAGGATATGTGGTATTCGATTTGAGCTACCTGCCGTCCAGTAGACACAACAGTCCTCACACGGCGGGTGCAAGAGCTCGAATTGACCTGATGCATTGGATGAAAGACATTTGCGTTCGGCTGTAGTACGTCTGCCATGACAAACGTCGAAACTGGGCCAGTTTAGAGCCCTGGATCAAGTGCGATGTCCCCCCAGACACAGGGACCGGCCACTCTGTCAGCTGACACTCTTCGTGAGAGTCAGTGCTTCGACTAAACCGGCGTGCCGGACGATGAGAGCATTGCAAGTGAGCTACATTCGACGACAGCACTACAGAATTTGCAAGAAGACTGCAAGAAAACAAACACTCCAAGTTCTCACGCCTGCGACCGACATGCAATGGAAGAGGAAGGGCTCTACAGCCAACCGTCCAGGACTACAACGTCGAACACTAACCCCTCACCAGAAACTCGCGTACCATGTGACGGCTGCACGATGCTGCTGGAGCGCAAAGCAGCAAGCCTGCTTTGCATGAATTCGTATCCTTTGGATGTATACGGTATGTACACGGCTGGAACAGCCCATTAAAGGGATTTTCAAATGCACGTGCAAAGCTACGGCTGGCGCAATCTCCGCACCAGCAGAGCGCAGACGGCTGTGTCAGCCGGCAGGAAGACATCAGAAAAAGAAGACCATTCTCATGATGGACAGTGCTGACGTGCTCAAAGCAGGTCTGCTACGGCCCCGTTCACCTCCAACTCTTGGCATTTACAGAATGATTGCGTCAAGTGTTCAGTCCTCAGGCCCGAACCGCATGCCACCATCTTTGTGACTCATCGCCATCTCCGGGCCCTGGGCATGCAGTGTGAAGAAAAGTGCAGATGGCCCAAAAAATCACCAAGGGCAGAACGCAGAATATGCCGCTGTCTTTGGCTGGCCTCAAAAAGATGGCTTGCAAAGTGACCGAGCTCTAAATTGCTTGCTCAAAGAGTAATGCAAAGATGCCAACTATTTGGGCATGGTAAAAGCTCAGCGAGGCCACACTCTCCTCAGAAGGGTTGCACGCCGGGAAGGAGAGAAGACTCCAGGTCTCGCTAGGCTCGATGCATCACTGCCAATCAAGCTGTCGTCTGGCCTGGGATTTACGCCGCCAGCCACATCAGGTGTTGTGGGGAGCAAGGCATATCTTAGGGCATGGAGCTGCGTCCCGCACAGTGCACGACTTGCAAGTGCTGCGCTTTGAAGCGCTACTTTTTTGGGCACGAACGTGGTGAAGAAAGCCTGCAAGCCAGGCTACAGCACCGTGACATGGAGTGCGGTTCTAGCAGGATGCCAGTGGCCTGTGGCGAGGCTTCACCTGCACACGGCGAAAGGAATCACAGCTGTGAATAAGGCAGAAAAGCATGCAGCTCTGAAAAGAGGATGTTTGGTGACCTTGCCTTGGGTATCCGCCTTTGGCAGCTCAACCTCCAGCGCTCTCGGCACTTACACAAAATCCGTACCTGCATGGCTTTCCCTTGCACTTGCCTGGGACTGAAACAGCCTCCCACCAGTCATGGGTGGAGCCACCTTCACAATGTGTGTATCAGTTTTCCAGCGTGCTTGTTTTGCATACCAAAAGGCCTCGTCGTCTGCATCTTGGAAGATGGGCGGATTCAAAAATTTCTCTGCCCAAGCGGCATCAATGGCCTGACAATGTCTTACCGCCCAGCATCACGGCCAACGTGCCAAGGAGCATGTTTTTGGGAAAGCTCGCGATGTCTGGCCTCTTCTGGAAGAGGTTGGTCGTAATCATGCGTGTCTGCACTCTGCCTCAGCATTTCCACAGTGGAACAGTGGGCAGAAATGTTCAGCGTGTCTTGTTACAGCCTAAGTGGGCAGCGCAGCGGCAGCAGCAGCAGCAGCACACGTGCTGAGGCTAAGCACTTCCGATGCTCTGATCTGCGATGATAGAAGGCACAGAGTCGTTGTCTTGGGCACCCTGGCATCACGATGCCATGCTACTTGTTCTGGCTGTCAGAACCACACGCTGGCTGGGCCCTTCATCTGCATGTCGCGGCAAGTCACCGTCCTGTCAGCCGCTACTCATCATCCAAACAGGACTCGATACGTGCATTTTGGCATAGCATGTCCTGAAATACTTTGGATGGTAAAGTTGTTCCTGCCCAAGCGGCCATAATGGCTTTACAGCTGCAATCCAGCAAACATGCAGCGCCTTGGCACCGTGAGCATATGGACAACGCAGGCCCAAGGGACAGCGCTGCGAATATGCGACCTGAGAATCGGCGGCCAACGTCTAGCATTGCTGCCACGTGCATAGCATACTCAAACAGCTGAAAGCAAGGGGATCGGCTCGCGTGTCCTGATTCGGGGCATATGACGTGGCCGAGTGCTTCGGGCTGGAAACTGCGTCACGCAGGAAGATGCAGCGAGAATTCGGTCCTTCTTCCCCCAGAAGGGACACGGCTGCGGTCCATATCCGATGGATGGCTGGCAGGATTGACAGGGTGCACAGGCTGTAAATGTATCAGGGCATTTCAAAAATGTCTACAAATGTCTACAATCATCTACCATCGATGCAGTTGGACTAGCTCTCCGGTTCAAGGTACGCATCCGCGTGGGTCAACTCATGCAATGCAAGCAACTGGCCTGGCGCCTGGCATCCTGGCAAGAGTTTTGCAAGCCCGCAACCTAGATCCGAACGTATCCAAACATCATACAACACGCTGGTGAATTCATCCGTCTCTCACAGAAGTCAAGTGCCACCCTTTGACTCGTCGTCATCCGAAGCCCCATCTCTCCAAATCACTGAGCTCAGGCCTGATAAGTGTGCGCGTAGACCTGGTGCACTGCGTCATGGATGGCTGTAATCTGCTGCTTGTGTTGCCAGCCACCCTATCTCGGTTTGAGCTGGTTTGGGAGCATTGCTGAGGCAGCGCTGGCACATCAAAACTTGTTCTGACTGTTTGCTGTCCGTGTCATTCCTTTGCTATGTGCAGTGGCATGCAGGAACAGCTGGGGTGGGCGCGCATATTTGCCAGTCATGCTGGGCGCCTGTGTTGGGCGCGATGCTGTAACAGGAGCAGGGAAATGATGGCGCGTACTGTGCCCCGAACCGATGGGGCACCACATCGTCTTGAACTTCCTGCCCAGCTGCTATGTCTACAATTGCCATGACAGGTACAAGTTGAACCATGAGTCTGCGGAACACTGAACCAAAAATGCAGCAGTACTGAGCTTGTGAACTAACTAGCAGGTCTAGCCATGGGTCGTGCTCGCAAAACAGTAATCCCTCAAAATTCTCATGCTACCCGATGCTGAGACTTAGCTAAGATGGTATACTACCTGGTTGCCTCCACTAGGTGCACATAGGTGCATGAGCTCCTGGTAAAGAAGTCCGGGGTCATCGCGCTCTCCTCATGCTCCTCTTCCTCAACCGAGAGGAGCGGTATCTGAACCTGCGGCTGTAGGAGCCGCAGAGCATGATCTGGCCAAACTAATGTAGACCCTTGATTGATAAACCCCCTTCCTTTGGTAAGGATGGGATCCTAATATTGAGGCCCATTAAAATAGGAGGGGGTTTATTCATCATGGGTCTACATTATGAATGTACTTTGTCACCTCCTCCCGAGCATGCGCAAAGGAGCAAGAGGAGCCCCGCCGGCATTGACCAACATGCCTCAGCACCGTCCTCTCTGCCCTTCGTGGCTTCCAACACAAGTAGAGGCGCTGCATCACCATGCGTTCCCTCCAGGCATCATGCGGATAGTAGGCACAGAAGCGGACTTTGGGGTTCGAAATTCCACCTGCATGCAGGAACGGGGTCCCTCACAGCGTGTGCGTTCGCAGTGCAGACAGGCTGTGACCTGGCCGCCCGCCCGGGTCTGTGGAACCGCGCCTCGCTGCATGTAGATCTCTGCTTCTCCAATGCTAAACTGCGTATCTCGCATCAGCCTTGACAAGTCGATTGGGACGCGCGGACCGCTGCCACGAAGCTTGGACCTCAAATCTGCATGATCGCTGAAGTTCTAAGGTTATCATAGTTTCAAGGCATCTGGCGATGCCAGTGTGAAGTACGAGTATCGCCCTGGGGCGCCTTGCCTGTTCACATACGCCATTGGAAGGCAGATTTCCAGGCCGATGCGCATCAAAATGGAAAGCAGAAGCAGATGGAAGGAAACGCCAGTCACACACGCAAAGCACAGGCAAAGCACCCACTGCCACAAGCTCAGCCTCATCTCAGTGTCATCATGAGCAAAGCAGCACGCACCCTCTCCACGACAATCAGTGCCTGCGGTGGCAAACAGCTGCAACATCTTTTAGGAAACACTACGTGGCATCTGAGGCAAAGACCATTGCAAGGCCGCGTCTTGTATTTGGCAGGATGATAGGAAACCTGCGCATAAAATGGAGTCCATTTGTACCTGGCTGTCAGGATATCATTGCCTCTTCTCGACCGTGAGCGAAAGGACAACTATCTCCAGCCATGCAACCTCCACGCAAGGGCTTCAATGGCTTCACACAATTTACCTGCACCCCTTGAGGCACTCACGAGGCGCAGGACAGAAGCATCTGAGGCCCCGACAGAAGCCCATCTCAATACCCCAGGATGGGCAGGCAGTTTCCCAGTACGCCCTCATAGACAAGCAGGAAAGAAACGCGCGCTTCCTCACTGCCAGGGGCACTCAGACTGTGACAATTGGCCGGTGGTGGGATCCACTGGCTTCCGCCGTCGCTGCGAACTGAGATACACGAAGCAGACCAGCAGAGCAGCTGAGCCCCGGCAAGCGTATCAGTGTCTGGCTCAAAGTGGTATCCACGGCACTGATGTGCCTCTGCCCCGTCAAAATTACGTTGGAGGTGAAGTTGCAGGTGAAGCTGGCTGCAATGATGCTCTCAGGAAGCCGCCTTGCCCCGCGCGCCGTGCTTGGCGCAGAAGCCACGCTGAAAGTCTGCGCATGGATCGGTGTGGAAGGAAAGCATTGCATCCTTGGCCCGGACCAGACTAAGATCGCTCTGTTGAAGACAAGCAGTTTCATGTAAACAGCTGCCCAACGGAAACAGCTTTGTCAGATTTAGGCAGAGCTGCTTACATTGAACTGCTTGCATCCCTAACGCGCATTGAGGAATGTCAAGGCATGGGCGATATGCTCGGGCTTCTCACCTTCCTCTGTCCAGAATGGCAGGGGCTCCCCTGCTTCCTGAAACTCACATACTACAGGCTAACATAGGCTAACAAAACAAGTAACCACCGGGGAGCTTGCAAGGAACCATGGTGCGGAGAGTGAATCTAGCCAGGAGGCCTCCTCGCCCTGCAGTGACTGCACACTCTTGTTTCCCACTCTGAGCATGTCTTGTTCTGCCCGTTTACTGGCCTCCCGTGCATCTTCATGACTCCACTCCACGTCAGGTTCCTCATTTCTAGCAGCTTCACCATCGGAAAAGTCAGCATGTGCGTTCCCTGTAAACCACACAGTCAAAATGACTCACAGTTGTGTGCTTGAACTCAGAGCCCTGTTTAGACGCTGAAGACTCGAGTCGCGGCCATACTATAGAGTAAGTCCGCGGCATTCATGTCCATGAAGAGCAGCAGCTGGTAAGGCGCAACTCGCTACCCAAGCGAGCTGAACTCCCACAGCCTACAGTACGTCATAGCCTGCCACGCGTATATACATCAATTTATCGCAGCGTAATACGCATGATCTGATGCCCTGCGTGCTCCAGACACGATGTGCTTCCTCCTTCTTCTACCACCATGCAGCACAAGACACTCTCGCCAGCGGCGCAGTTGTACTAGGTCTTCCGGCGTTGCATACTGCGCGGGTGGCGAAAGTGCTTTGTGGGGCTATGTACACAACTACAATGCCGAGAGAGTTGAGCAAAGTGAGGGGTCAAGCAGCTCAGAGAGGACACAGCAAGTACCAGACAACTTCTGCTCAAGCAGTGGTCGCAACTCTTGGTCATGATCAAACTTTTCAGCAGGCGAAGCGAGCACAGCGGCATGCATATGATTCGCCAAACGACGTTATCCAATGCAGCATGGCTGGCTCAGAAGAAGTGGCTGCCCTCGCCACAGGCATGCGTCTGACGGGACTTTGTGGAAGCTCAACTTCCAGGCCTTCCTTCCTTGCCACCGTCTACTGCTGGTTGTAGTATGGCCCGGATGGAGAACGAGACTGCGCAATGCCTTCAGCACAAAGCATATGTCCCATGACTTGCATGGACATTGCAATTTGCATGCTGCACCCGATCCAGCAGCAGCGCGCTGACTGCATCGAAGCCCATTCCGGACCTCACGATTTCAGAAATGCTGGGCTCTTTAGCTCATGAACCTCAAGACAGCATGAGCTTGCTCTATGCACTTTGCATCATCTGAAAGCCATGTGTGAGTGCGCGTGTCCCATTCCAGGTGACCCACTCCATCGTGGCACTTGTAGTCAGCGCATCATTCGCAGCTGTCAGAGAAGCCCTATCAGCAATTGCACGCAGTCCCACCATTTCTGCTCAGAGCGTCAAACTTCGAAGATTGCCTCAAGTCACCGATCTTCGATGAGGTCGAGAGTGCTGCCTGCAGAATCACGAATAGGCGCAAAGATCAAATACGGTGAACTTCGACATCGGTCCTCCAACAACTTCGTCTGCATGACGTGACTTCCCAGGACATCCTTGTCGCAAGGTGTTCACAGAAGCGTGTAAATCCAAAGTATCATCCGGATTTGATTCTTCACAATTTTGGAGCCAAGAGTCAGCAATACTCATACTCACTGGTTGAGAAGGCGAAGTGCTCCATCCTGAAGAAAGCCAAGCCGGTCTGTTCTTACAAAAGACCCTAGGCTTTGAGGCGCTTAGCGCTAAGAAGGAAGGAGTTGTGGAGCTATGCAGCAATCGCATGGGGGCTGCAGTAAAAGGCCTAAAGCTCTGATACGAAGAACTTCCAAAGACAATGGTCCTGCGCTTCAAGCAAAACCCACACCTGTCCAGAATCAAAATGTCGTGACTCTAAGGCAAATGATAGGCTCTGCAAGGCACACACTTTGAAGTTGAACCTACATGTAGCTTTGGGCGGACGACGGAATTCAAAGCTTCGCTGATGCCATGTGGCAGCCTACGACACATACGAATGCTCACCGGCAGAATAGGAATGTTTGTGTCGCGCTTAGCCTTCCTTGTACTGAAACATTCCAAAAAAGCAGCGAGCCGCAAACAAACAAGCTGGCATGAGAGTACTGGCGCAAAATCCATCCGATCTCAGGAGCCAACCATAGCCATCCCATTCCATTGTCACCTGCATAAGGGGTGAGCGAAAAAAATCCAGCGACACCTGGGCAACCAGCAGCAAAGGCCTGATTGAAGGTTTGCTCCTCAGTGAGGTGGTCCATCCTGTGGGCTGAACAGCTTGCAAGGAACGCTTTTGAGCTTTTGCAGCTTCCGTCCTTGAACTCGCGGACTCGGTTGAGCTTTGGAATTAGAATCTGCTAGTTTCCCCCCGTTGGCAGACTTCGACGGAATGCAACTTTCCCATGCACAGGGCTGCAAAGTGCATATCAACATGTTGCTGCTGACACTCGACAAGTCACCCTGCAAGCCGTAAGAACGCGCGCAGAGTATAGTGTGACCAGAAAGCAGGCGCATGGCGTTATTTTGCTCTTGCTACAAAGGGCCGTGGGTTTGGGATCTTCCGTGATCAAATCAGACCCAGCCCAGCTTCTGAAAGTGTGCCATCAACCACTACCTGTACATTCATGATCTTGGCCGTGGCTTGCGGGTTCAGATGTCAACTAAAAAATCACACAATCGCTCGGGGGTTTGGGCGTCTAGGGGCTTCAATAGGGTTGTAGACATGCTACCGCAGCAGAAATCAAGAAACCATCCAGAAAGTAAGCGCGAATAACTGAAGGAGCATACAAACGATGATGAGCAGGAATCAAAAAAAACATCACAACAAAATGAACACGCGGCCCCCATCAATCAAACCAAACCTTAACCGCGCATGCCTATCTCATGACATTGCTCTAACATGTAGCTGGGTATGCCTCGCCCTTCACAGAACAGCTACAGCAGGTAGGACAGTCCGTGGTCTTTTCGCTCGAGCACACTGAAGATCGTCATGCCACAATCGGCACAGCTTACGGGCTCAGGGCTTCTTCACGGCTGGGTACTCGAAACACGTCCATACCTCGGAAGGTCGAAAAAAACCGACGTCCGGCCCATACCAACAGGGTCGCGCGCGCACCAAGCAACCCTTAGAATACATACATACCGGGCCGGGGGAGAAAAACCGCATGGGGGGTAAAACCTCGGCCCAGTGGCCTCCACCGACGCCGCGGCGAGTCTCTAACACCAAACCGCCAGAACAAAGACACGAACCCGCAAAAAACCGAAGAAGCCAAGCCCCAAACCCAACAGAAGAGTACCCCAAAACCCGGCCCCGTAATGGCGTGGCAAAAGACATACTCCATAGGCCATCGGCGAAGAAAGGTAAATTCATGAATGCATGGGCAGCTGCAAGACGGGTTGTACACCAAATTCTCGGTCTCTCGTGATACCAACCCCAGTACACATGTGCAGAATGATATGAAAGTACCAGGCAAGCTTTGAGGCTGCAGCGGTCAAAGCCAGACCGCCTTCGAAGAATCTCCTTCACCTCACTTCACACAACAGACTGGGGGTTTCCAAAACACGTGTCCCTGTCTGATAGTCACTGTGATCCAAATAGGGGTGTATGGAGACTACCACATCACAAGACAGAACGATCGCCTGCCAGTACATATGCAGCGTTGACCCAGCAGAATCAGAACTCCTGGAACTGCTCAGAGCCAGGCAGAATTGAGTTTGTTCACCCGCGGCTTCATCGATTCGATTACAGCGGTTTTGCTTCTGCACCTCCGCTGCTCGTCGTGGCCATGCTCTGGACTGCACTCATGTAAGTCCCTGTGCTGGGCCTGGCTGTACCGTGTGACGAGTTCTAGGCTGCACACGTGGTCAAACCAGCTGCGGACACTGATCTGGAATCCGGATCATGAAGCCTGCCCATGCTGCGAGGTCTGCTACAGTGCAATCAGTCCAAAATAGTCTAAGCATGGATGCTTTCAGCGAAGTGCTGCAGCCACGCAACGCCGACGTTGAGCACCGCAAACCACTTCGTCGCCCACCAGCAGAACAGAATTGGCAGTGGACTCATTGCTTGATCATGCCTCATCGTACCAGCCAGCACAAAAAGCCGTGATGGGATTATAAAAAAAATACCTACGGTAAGATGCTCTCAATGCTGCTTACGGGATACGGAGATAAGTAGTCCAACAGCCGGAAATGGCGGGTCGCGGAGCCCTCAATCTTCACAGCCCGGGTTCCCGCCGGGCCAAAGGCGAACGTCATCCTGGGGGCTGCACGTGTACTTCCCAATGTAGGGCATGGTTTGGAGCCTGGATCGAAGGCAACACCTTCCCTTGCTTAGCCTGCGGCAACTTTGTCTATAGAACCCTTTTGGGAACACGCTGGCTTTTGAGTTTTTGAGCTGCCACCCATCTTTGACCTGGAATTGGGTCTCTCTCCATGTCGCTACTCCCTCCTTCAGAAGCCCAGTTCTAAGTCCTGGCAAATGACCTGCGCCCTAAGCCAAAGCAACAGCTACCAAGTGTCAGAGCACATCTTTTCTGAATCCTCCCTCCCTGACTTGTTTGCAAGGTTGGCTCCTGCGGTGTGGACGCGCACCTTCGGTGCAGGTTAGCCAGGTGCTGCTCTGGCCTCTCCTGGACAAGAGCAGAAGCTATGGCGGGCAAAGCCGTGGCCACTGGTAACAACGCAAAACTCACCAAGCGGGCTTAACTGCTTATCATGCGAGATGGAATGAATCCAACATCCAGTGGACCGGGCCCTCGTCACATCTTGTAGCAAGGCCGGCAGTGGGCGTGGCATTGTGCTGCTGGCAATAGGCTGTGCGCCGGCCTTTGCTGATGCTCCAGAACAGCATTAAATTTAATCTGACGACAATGTTACCAGGTGTCCAACGCAGGCAGAGTGCCAAGGACTCTGCCTGACTAGCTCTTGGGAACTAGTCAGTCTACAGAAATCGAAGTGCTCAAACGCTGGCCTTAATTGTGGGCTCCGCCTCTCATCCGGCAAGTGCCTACGAACCTGCTCCTCATAGACTTGCATAATCAAAGCACCTCTCACCCTCAGCAAGCATGGAGAAACAAGTACCTGCCTTCAAGACACCTAATCGCGCAGATGTTACTGGACTCATGATCTCGGTGATTTCACGGGAGCTGCTCGGCAGTCCTGGTCCAACAGGCTCCCCGTAGCTTCACGGTTTGAACTTGAAAGCTCCTCGCACCTGCGCAGCGCATCAGGGCCATCGACTGCACTGTTTGTTCGTCCGAAACTGTCATCAAAGCGGTGTCGCACATCTACAATGTCGGTGTTCGTACCGGCCAGAGTCAGGAAGCATCGAACTGAGGGCTTGACAAAGCCAGCGTCAGGCACCGCAGATCCTGATCAGAAGTCTTTGAGGTCATGTCAGGCGTTAGTCAGACACAACATCCGTACCAACATCTGGGATCAACAAAAGCTCAAGTAATCGATTAACTTTGTCTGCCGATCTCTCAAGAGTCCAGCCGTCGGCCTGGTTGTCTGCCTCCAAGGCGACGCGATTCGACATCGTCCAGGCTTCCGCTTTTGTGGCTTCGGCCTCCTCCTGCAAGATGCCGCGTCATAAGATCTGACATTCAAAGCAGGCGAGCGACTCTCACCAGCAAACACGACGTCTGTCAACCCGAAGCCAGACACTCTCTGCCTCCAGATCGAAACCATATTGCTTGGGTTCTGGCAAGCCACATTCAGTTTCGCGTGGCATCGCAAATGCCATGCCCACATCGTGCTGAATCCCTTCTACAAGGCCCTTGTCGCACTCGCGTAACCAGCAACCCTGCCTCCGAAATTGCTTCTCCACATTTCGGAGTACCGGCCCCAAAGCTCCAACACTTAACTATCCTCAAGTCCCACAGAACGCATGTAACGCATTCGAATTGATGTTCAAGTTGCCAGAAACTCTTCCTGCCAGACTATGGACTTGGGCTTGACAGACCCAACATCACGAACACTGACAGCAATCTCAACCAAATCACGCATTCCCACCATACTGAGCATGTTCAAGTCTTTTTGTCTGCTTTGGGGTTTCAGTCCTGAATTTGGCCTTGCCTTCCATGCTCTTTACCAGCCCAAGTTACGTATCCAATGTGGGGAAGGATGACTTTGACCGCAGGTCACCTACCTACCGGAGGCCTGGTAGCCAGTCATGCTCGGCCATTAATACGCCGCAGACTCAGACATGCCTTCACCCGTCCCCCTCCTGGTGCAGCTCCGCCACCTCTTGGCGCAATCGCTCTGCAACAAGCTCCGCCATCTGAGCCCCATCGCGGTAGTTGGCGATGGCCTCTACTAACAGGAAAGGGTGATCTTCTTGCGGTTGCAAGCTATAACAAGACATTCATATAAGCAATGGCGTCTTTTGTTCTCGCCGCGAGCCAGCAAGTATTTCGTGACATTTCCTGACGAGGGGCGCAAGGCGCTTGACCATCAGCGCTCGGGACCCGCAGCGAAAATCTGGACAAACATCGCTGCAGACATCGTCACCAAAAACTTTCGAAGTGCCTGCCCTGGCTGCTCTGGCGCGATACTTGCACACTTGGTGCGCTGCCTGGAGCGGCCGCTTGGGCAGCACTTCTCATTGCAACGGTGCCGGGTGTAGGTCATACTTCACATCAATGTGTCAGTTGGGTAAAGTTCGAGGTGCGGGTATACAGCCTGCTATGATTACACCCGGCACAAAGGGTTTCCCAAATATCAGCTTAAAGGCTATCTGGGAAGCAGTCCACACCATCCAAAACAGTCTTGCTTCGAGTGTCTGTACCTGAATTCAGCACCTGCCCATGGTTCGGCTTGCTGTTATGTCACGCAAAGAGTCACCAGTCAGGGAGGCGGTTCAGTAGTGTTACATCCCTGTGCCTTTTGGCAGGGAACAGCTTACCTCTGCATATCACCCTGGAGAAAGAAAACTGAACGGACAATGGAAAAGCAGTGTGGCCATACATTGGGCTTGAGGTGATATGAAGAGCAACATTGGCCAATGAATTATTTGGCCAGGGTACAGCGATGAACTGCCCATGCAGCCTGGTTGCACGAAATCACCTGGATTTGCCCTGTAGGGTCCTACGCAGGTGCCGCTGTGCGCAGCCTTTCTAGCGCCTCAATCACTTCTTGCCGGAAGGGATAGCCGATCTGTTCCTTCGATGCAAGCCCTAAAATCCCGGAAAATCGCATCCTGTCCAGCGTCTTGCTCAGCTTCCGCGTGACTTTCTCAGGAATCTCCGCTAGAGCTTCCTCCACTGGCTGTCCATGCAGGGAGAATTCGCGCTCAACAAGCTGCATTACCTCAGCAGCCTGGAGCTCAAACCCCTCCCTAATTGCAATTTGCTTTAAGTATTGGAGCATCATAGCCAACACCTGGGGCCTGCCGAGACTGTGAACCATTGCCCGTTGCTGCTTGTCCAACTTCAACGGCCTGTCTGGGTGTTCCATGTGGCAGTAGCCACAGGACCTTCCGTTCTCACAGTGCCCCAAAGTAAAATAGATGCATGGACGGTGACAAAGTTCTGGATGTCCCAAACTTCCCTGTCTAGGAAAGCTTTGGGCCACCTCGCTGGATGGGCTAACAAGTTCCTGTCCGGATTTAGCTTCACGCTCGCTGCTCGCATTACATGCCTTCTGCTGGGCGCGTAGGTCAGCCACATTTGTAGTGAGGGAGGTGACATACGACCTCATTCCCTCTTCCTCAAGGCGAGCATCAGTATCCCATTCTATGCTGTGGCGGCCGTGGCATGGAGGCGCGCTGCAAGAGCGAGGCTTTGGAACAGTCGCTGCACCTTCCTGTGCATGAATGAAAGTGCGGCAGTACTGAAGCTTCAAGGCCATCTGTCCAAACCAAGGGTCCCAATCGGCTCCTTAGCAAATGCTTCAGCCAAAAAGCTTCGGTTCCGAACATGGGCTGGTAAATCGCAATTCCCTGCCCCGTGCGCTTTGCTTACAGCCCCCTCCCTCCGGACAGATTCTCTACACCCTTGCAATGCAGGATTGGCCTGAGCTTGTTTTGCAATGCTCTGGCGCGTGCCTTGGGTACACTTACAGACTTGAAGACTTGGAACCTTGATTTTGAACTACTAAGAAAAGTGGTCCTGCCATATACCCCAAACGCCATAATCCCCAGTTTCCTATAGGGACCCCCAAAAGGGGGCCCTTTACTTTGAGAAATCTCAGACGCCACTGCACATGTCCAAGCTGCTCTGAACAGTTGCAGAGTGCCATTCCCTGTGCTGGACCGCAGCTTCAGCAGACAGCTCCTTGCCGATTGATAAAGATCAGACAGTGTCAACACATGGGCCATGACATGCTCGAAGTGTTGGGCCCTTTGGCAGAAATTATCAATTGTGGTACAGTACGGCACCTCTTATTTTGGGGTACACCAAGCTCGCCCGAATTCTAATTGGAAACCATCCAACCAAGCACATAGTGACTAATCTTGATCAGATCTTCATCCTCCAGGCGCAGATTGTCAAGGTCAGCAGACAGCTGCGTCGATTCGGCCTGACACCCCGTCTATGGAACACTACTAAACACCGCCTCTTGGCACAACACGTAGGGCCCGTAGGCATCTGTAGGAATCGTGCCCACGTGTTTGTCAGCTGTCTCCGTTAATGGGGTTGTCGTGCTTGCCGCCCTTCTGTTACAAGCCTTTGTCACGCACCTGTTGTTTCAGCGCGGATGGCAGAATGACTCTTGGCACGACATAGTGGTCTGTTACAATGGTATGTCGCTTAGAGGCCACGCCTGTACAAGCGGGATGTTTTACAGATACCTGCTGCGCATCTTCCAACATTGACCGAATTGCAGTGCAGAAACAACACGTATGCACTGCAACTGTTTGCACATGTTCGAATGAAACTTGGGCATGGCTCGCCGTTTCCCTTCGAAAGCCAAAGCATTCCTGCCTCTTCCTGCTGCAAATGAGCTTTCGCGAACGCAAGCTCTTGCCGAAGGATCCTGAACACATCGCTCCGCTTCAGGAATCATCAGCACACCCGCCGCACTTTCCAGCCGCCTTGTACTGAGCATGCGCTCAGTGACCTCGTCTTGCACCTGCACCGCACTGACACCAACACGAACATTTGGGCCAAATGGCAAGACGCGCAAGAAAGCAAGCCTCGTCAGATACCTCTCCTGTCAACTTTGACGGCAACCTTGAGGACCTTAAGCGGTTCTTCATTCAGATGGCAACGTTCGCTTTATTCCCGACTGGCAAGTGGTAAGTGTTTGGGGGAACCTGCTTTCTTCTTCACTCTCCCATTGTCATTGTCCTGGTCTATGCTGGCCACAACCATGCAATTCACGCCACACCCTGCCCGCCCTCCCTCCGTCCGAAAGCCTTCCTGAATAATCCCAAGGCAGCAAGCAAAAGTGAGCACCTCTATGTTCGTGAGTAACAACGAAAGCAACCACGCGATATGGGCACACCAATTTTGGAAGCTTGGTCATGCTTGGTCGTGAGCGTGGCTCTTGGGCCTGCATTTGTGGCATGCGCGGTGCCTGAAGCTGTTCTCATGCAGTGGACATTTTGGGCTAAGATCTGCGGGAAAGCCGCAGCCTGAAGATGTCCTTCTCAAGAGCACGGCAGCAGTATGCTGCCATTGCTGGGCCTCACAAGTTTGGCATGCAGCCACCTACTAGTAAGCTGCACACCAGGAATTCTGTATGACAACCAGAGACACTGCCTCATCTTCCGCTTCCTGAACCTGCTTTCAGGAAGTATCTTCTGCCGCGGCCATGGATAATGTCCACTGCAATCCAATGCAACGGCCTCCACAAGGAGGTCACTCTGCTCGGCCTCCAGCAGCTCTATGGAGCGACTGGCCTGGCACTTGGCTAACAGGAATGTTGATCTTGTCAGTTGACAGGTGGGAATTTTTGATGCGGTACCCGACATCTGCTGACAGATGGCACGAAACCCCATGCATGTGGAGCTGACACTGCTTATTGAAGTTGGCTCAAGTTGCGGAGACGATTTTACTCACAGGAAGGACTTCTCGGGTGCAGTGATGCACCTGCAGGAGCTCGTCGACAGAGGCCTGGCTTCGGTCTGGAATATGCCAAACGCGAGAATTCAAGCAGATCAACTTTTCGACGGTATTGGCTAGTGCGCTCTTGCAGATATGCTCTCACATTCTGGGCAGGTAGCCTTTCCCATGATGGACTGAGGGTTGCTTTTGCTTACAAGCCACTATGCTTCACTAGCACAAGACCTTCCACAAGGCATGCGATGAATGTGACACAGACAGGCGCACGATACACACCACAAGCCACGTCAAAATGCATCCGCTGAATCCACTGCACTCTCACGTGGCAAGAACCATCTTATCCATCTGAGAATCTTCAGAAAATCTGTGATGTCTAAAGGCTCGAAAGACGCTGAGTGTCACAATCGGGCAAGGTGCGCCCTGAGGTGCAGAAGTGGATTCGACATCTGCAGCCATCGGATCAGATAGCTCCTGGAACGCGGAGCCACGGTTTAGCGTTCAGGGTGTAGGGTCCCAAGTCTTACTCTGCAAGGATGGCACAAGCGTTTGTGAATCCCACAGCCAACGTAGCTTGATAACTAGACTCTGCTAGACTCGATGCACACTCCGGAGTGTGCAAGGTCCTTTAGGGTTCCCAAGAAAGCTCCCATCAAGCCGATGACTTGCTGAACTGAAGCGATGCTGCTGTGCACTGGTAATGCGAGAAAAGACGGGCAAAGATGTGCGCAGTTGTGTGCTAGTAAAAATGATAACAGCAATAATCATAGTAACGAATGGAGACAACAATAAGAAGAATCACAATATTCATATTGGTAATGATAATAAGAACAATACTACAATAACAATAAGCTAAAAACTCCAGCCCTCTGAGCCAAGTCTTGCTTCTTAGCCAGCAGATGCTGAAAGTCACAACTTCGCCTCTCCGTGAAAAATCACGCCAGAGACAAAAATCACACCAAAAGTGATCCCTTCAGCCATCCTGTGACAGTAAGTAGGGACAGACCCCAATTAGGCAAAGCGAACATGTGAGACACCCTGAAAGCATGCGACACAAAGCTGCGAAATGGCCAGAATTACAGCGTAGGAGAATTGCGGCCTTGCCTCAAAACGGCCCTGGTTTCAATGTCCTACATCTTAGAAATTGTGGACGCCATGTTCTGATGACTTCAAAGTTCCAAGCTCGACAGCGAAAGCTGCAAGGGTCGATTCTAAAACGCAGGTTGCTCCTAGTACTGGTTTGAACATGTTGCCGTCGCTCTTTTTTGCACTCACGGCAGATCCTGCAGACTCTGAATGGAGGATGCCCGGATTTTCTCTTCCATTTCCTGGCTTCACCCACGTACAACAATTAAAGCCACTCGTCACAAAGCTGCGCAGTGTCCTCGAGCCATCGCGTGCAGTTCATCTGCCTGCATGAATCTGTGGAAAATGTGGAAAGAAATTAAACTAAATAATCACTGCAATTCCGCATACCGCAAGAGATGCAGGCAATTACATGGCTGTACCACATCACTCTCTAACAGGGCACTAGAAAACTGGCCAATCAAAGTCTAGCAATCTACCCTCGCAGCCGTGCCGTTTACAGAAAATATTTGTACTTGCTGCAACCCAGAAATGAGCTACGGTCCAAAGTCCTTCCAAGGCTAAGGACACGGGCTTGATGTTATCGTTGTTTGTTGTTGTTGTTGTTGTTGTTGTCGTTGTTGTCGTTGTTGTCGTTGTCCTCGTCGTCCTCGTCGTCGTCCTCGTCGTCGTCGTCGTCGTCGTCGTCGTCGTCGTCGTCGTCGACATGGTTGTGGTTGTTGCAGTGTCTTTTTCAGCATGTTTGTCTTCTTTCAAAGGAATGCTAACTAACTTCACACCTCTTAAACAGCATGGTTTGCTGCTGCCCCATTGGTTTACAGGTGTCTTCAGCGTCAGGCGCGAAAGTCATGTCAAAACATGACCAAGTGGTTGGGCATTCTGGTAATTCTGAATGTCCCTCCATTCGCAACAGAATACCATTGTTACAGCCGAACTGCAGTGGAGCCATGCTTTCTGTCATACTTGCTCATAATAATCGTTGCTATGTTGGCACCGAAACTGCTTGACTGGCATCATTGCCCATGCTTGATGAGTCCTACCCTAATACAGCGACCATCACTCGTCACTCGTAAAGCTTTTTAGGACCAAGCAGACCTGAGCTAGCTGGTCCTCCCCTTCCCCTAACTCCTTCTCTCATGAACTTTCTCGTGCCTATACCCGATTTTCAAATGTTGGCAACCAACGCCTCACCAAGCCAATCGCTAGCTCTTAGAAGCATGACTGGTCCAGATATAAGATGGCTTACAGAAGGCGAAGTCAAGCTAGCAACAACTCAAACTTGCAGTTGGCCAGCGAGTTGTCGATGTCTGCTTCCCCACAGTGTCGGTTGAGTGGCTTGCGTCAATCTCGACTCGGGGGGGTTGACTGCCGCATACTTCGCATGCGGCTGCGGCCCTTTTGTTGGTTCACATTCTGCCTGGGCGAACGCCCGGAATTGAGCACAGCTTTTTGACGCGCTGCAAGACTTCAATGACCCATGTACACGTGCTCCCACCCTGATTCATCTGAACTGTAGTCTAAACTCCTTAAAGGGGGCTAGAAAGGGGACTCTATATGGGTGTATTATATAAGGGTTATTAGGGGGGATACTAGGAGTACTGACTATAGGCCCTATACAACCTTATATTATAACCCCAATAACATATACCCTATATAGTCTCTATGTAACCCTACATAAGCTCATCTACTTACCTCTGCAGACACTTTAGCGCCTCTGAGCTGTTTTCTCAATCAGCTGGTAACGATTTGCAGCTCCCACCT